TTTACAATTGTATTACAGTCTTTATTCAATAATTCTCTCATTGCTCTAACTTTGTAGAAACAACTCTTGAGCAGTGGGTAAGCTTCCAAACTAAAATAAATGATAGAGTAAGGGAGAAAATTTATAAAGCATAAGAGATGGAAGAACAGGTGCATCAGAAAGTTTTGTATTTTGGACAGATTTTAAAACAAGTATTGAATATGACTGGGTTATAAATTCCATAACCAGAGGTAATGCTAGGAAACAGACATAAAGCAAACTGTTCTATATTTGATAAGTATTATAGTTCTGACCTGAAATTTTAGATATCATTTGGATGAGAGAGTGGACATGTCTGAAAATAAATATAGAGAAACTACCCTCATTTACTATTGTTACTCCTGCTTTTGTGCTTGTTTTTGTTAATATTACCAGTTTTATTACACTATGCTATTAAAAATTATACCTAAAAATACACTTCTGTTAAAAAAAAAAGTCTTCCTTGGATTTAAATCAAAATACCTGAGTGAAAAAGATGCCATCTTATTTATCCCAGCCAAAATCTAAGCCCTGGCAGCAGCTTGATAATTGATACAAAGTTGTTGCAAATTGCTAATACTTGAAATCCTTATCTTTTGCAACACCCCTATTTCTCCTTTACATCTTCAAAACCCATTAAAACATCCATCTAAGCCCTAGTGCTCATTGCGTGCTTCCCAGCAGATTTGCTGTCCTAGCAGGGTAGCTCAGGAGTTCACAGCAATGCAGGAGTGGCCATGTCCTGGTTTGAAAAGCAAAACCAGTGAGAGGCTCTAAGTCAGAAATACAATTTATTAGGAAAAAGGGAACAAAGAACCACATACATACAGCAGCACAAAAGAAGAACCACTGACAGAGTTGGATATACAGCCTGACACTCTCTGGCTGGGGCAGTGGTAGCAGATCTTGTTCTGTCCCAGCAGTGCTCCTGCAGACTGATGGAGTTTCCCTCTGGAGGTGCAGTGCAGAGAAGGTCTCAGCTGCTCCTCTTGGAAGAGGGGATCTCCTTGCTGTCTGCACAACCCAGCTCATATCCCTGATGGCATCGTTTGGCTCCTCCCTCTGGGTGAGCATCTCACAATAGAACGCTGTGATCTTATCAGCCATGTGGCTGAAAGAACAGCTCCTCCTGGAGGGACTTATCTGTGAGCCACGAGATAAGGAAAGAAAGGGAGGTGGTAATGGAATACATCCCAATATTATAACCTAGGACAGGCCATCACAAAGTCAGGATTGTCAGCTCAATGGGGCAGGGAGCTTCGACTCCGATGTCCAGCTGTAGTAGAATAACTTTCAGAGAGAACAAAAAATCCTCATCGATGTACCTCAGGACATCTCTAAAGTTCTGTCTCTCCAAAAGAGTTTTTGAAATATTGTGACAGTAGCTGGGAAGTACCAGAGCACTCCCTTCCTATTTCTTGCTCTGCAAACATAAGTATGGGATCGCATTCCTTTGGACGGGCTGGGATCCCTGGGTCCGCTACAAGTCTGGCGTCACAATCAGTTTCTCCTCTTGAAAATGCTTTGTGTGTGGCAAGCACATTTCTCTCCCTCTCAGGATTTTTCATAGAGATGCACAGAGAGAAATGAAAGAGAAAACAATTTCTATTTCGGCTCCTTGTTTTTCCCATGTGGAATATGTTTGGAGAATTGTTTACCTGGGGTGAGTGCTTGGTTGGATTCTGGTGAGGATTGTTTGAGCCTGGTGGCCAATCCAACCTGACTCTGGCTGGACTCAAGAGAGGGTCACGAGTTGTGTTAGAGTTAGAGTCAGAGAAAGTAGTATGTAGTTTTAGTATCCTCTTTTTATATAGTATACTAATGTATTTTAGCATAGTTATAATAAAGAAATAATTCAGCCTTCTGAATTGAGTCAGACATCGTCATTTCTTCCCATTGGGTTTGTCTGCATTTACAATACTGTATGCTAGGGAAATGAAGCACTATTTTTAATTGGCTTAATCCCATGGAGGGACTGAAATTTCTAAGCATCTTTTAGCCTTATTAGCTTTGTAAGAGTAGAAGATACTAGGAAAGTTTACAGGAGCTACTTAGCATCTGGAAGTATCTCTAAAAATGTCATGCCTAAAACAATATGTTCCAAGTAGGCAGGGATGCTGGAAGACTTTATTGCAAAAACTGATATTAGTACCCCCTCAAACGTTTTTTCTTCAGCTCAAAAGCCGTGGTATTTCAGTGTTCATGGCACTAATGCTTGTGCCTTCCTCAGTCACATCCCTCATCTCACCAGGTTAATGAGGTTTGATTACCCACCAGTCCTGCTACTTCTCTGAGAACTGCCTGCTCAAATTCTTGTCAATATTGTGGAAAAATATTGTCCTACATCTACAGGTTGTAGGTGTTTACATATAAACGAGACCTTTGGTTATTTTCTTGACATTTCAAGTCAAATTAATTTGAAGGCTTTATGAAGTCTTAAATGTTTAGATCTCCAAGGTCACAGTTACAATGTTCAAATCCCATATTTTCATTAGCAGGGTAGGTGTTTTCCTTACTATGTGCTACACATGAATCTAATCTGAGACCTGTGTAATATCCTTGCAGCAAGTGAAATATTTACTAATTAGAAAAGTGGAGGAAATTTACTTGCCTCATTCTTAAATCAAGAGAAATACTCTGGATAATGCGAGTTTTGTAGAGTAAAGACTAGTTAGGGACTTGAGGATCTGAAATGAATAGGAAAAAAAGCCAAACAAAGACAACAAATATTTTTTTTTTCCCTTTCCACTGGTAAGAACCAGGTCTGGCTTCAAGTGCACAACTTTACACTGAATATCTGTCCAAGAACTATACCATACATTATTTAACTGCACATAAATATAAAATACATGCTGTACCATAGGCTTTCTTTGAATATGTTTTATTTTTAGGTATATTTTCATTCATTTTATTAATGATTAACATGGTTCTACATACTATGAACTTTCAGCTTATTTTAAATTTTCCTCATATATTATCACAAGGTCTTAATTTTTTTGAAGATATTTAATTTTTTTTGACATTTTAAAAGCATGGCATTTTTAGTTATGTACTAAGAATGTAAGGTCAACACTTAAGAACTAATATCTGATAAAAGTGTAAGTGAAATATTACTTAGCTAGTTTAAGCATTAGGAAAGGATGAAGTAAAAGTTCTTTGAATTAAAAATTGGCTTGAACTAATTTTCTAGATTATAGAGATTGTGACAGGGCCCTTGTACTGTACAGTGTTAAATTGTACCTTGTACAGTGTTAAATTTTACAAAAAAAAAAAGAAGCTAGTATATTCAAAATTAATGGACTAAAAAATTGAGTCACCTCTAATAAAAAAAATATTGATTTAAAGAGAATTACTAATTTGATATATGTCTACAGCATTAAGATAAGTAAAAAAAATAAATTACAGTTTTTTTCTTGTAATAGATTGTGTTATTATAAGTCATTGAAGAGGAAAAGCAAATGGAATACATTTTAAACAGTGTATGTATTTATTTATACCAGAGTTTTAAGTTTGTGTTGTTTGTAAGACTTATTAGATATTACTCACCACTTGGAAATGGTAGATTAGAAGTCCTGAGAAAAAGTTACTGCAGGAAAAAAAGTTAAGATAAAAACTTGCAATTTACCAATTTTGCTGAATTAAATTGTGTCCAGCAACACTCCTGACTCTAATGCAAGAGATTTTCTAGGATTCTTAAGGCCCTTGTCAAATAGTGGTTTCCCAATAAATTAACAGACATGTTACTTTAGCCAAAATGTTCCAGGCAGGCACACTTAACCTGTACATTATGATAAAGAAAAAGAGAATCAGGTTTTAAATACTTCTGTGCATCTTAAAAGACAAATGCTTTAATGGGACCAAAACTTGGAGACCTCAAAATGATCCATTATAAGTGGAATATTTGTCCTCCAAACCATTATTATGTTATATTCAAATACAGTTTAAATGCTGTTCTATTTCACTGATATCTGGCCTGAACTATTGAGTCCTTCACTCCTAATATCTCTTTTGCAGTAATTATAAAGGCGTTATTTATCACTTCTTCATTGAAATAAATCCTACAAATTGAAAAGTTTGATTTGAAATATGATTAATTTCATTGGTAAAGCAAAATGGGAGATGTTTAACATATATGTTTTAGATTTTATGTTATATTAATTACAATATAGTGCTGCCCTGTGATCACTGCTCTAGTGAGTTTTAATTAGAGTTTGATGAATTTCTACTTACAAATACAGTCTGGTGAATTTGATCCAACTTTCTGCTCAGGACCAGATGTGAACTCATTTTGGATTTTATCATTTGCCTAAATCATGTAGACAAACAAATTTCAGCCAGTGAGTTCCTGATTAATAGTTCTTTCTTCTGTTCACTCTTTATTACTGCTGTCTGTGCTATGAGATTGGAGATCTAAATTAAAATATTTTGAAGTAGAGCAAAAAGCAGAGATCTTATTTTAAGAGAAAGATTAAAAAATAATTAACATTGATCATTTGTTCATTCACATAAAAATATTGCTTTCCCAATGTAAAAGTGATTACTGGTAATTGCCTCTTATATTTCATAGGAACATTTGCACGAAATAATCTGAAATATCATTATTGCATTTTTCAATAATGCCAGTCATTTGAAAAACTATTGTAAATGCTTGTCTACTCTTATGGAATATGATTATCAGGTTTATATGATTCTGTAGGTTCTGTTCTTTGTTTCCTCCGTGATGGCTTCAGTTTGGTTTTGTTTTCTTTCAGAAATTACTCCTGCCCTAGATTCATAGCAAATCTACAGAGTGGACTCTGCACAGCTCATTTGCTACAGTACTGTAGCCCTCTGTTATTTAAAGTCATCCTCTTTTTTCTCACTCTTAATGAACTTGCTAAACAGTGGCAGTCCAAACAGAATTGTAGATTCCTAAAATCCCCGTCCATGATTCGAAGCACGAGAGTAGGAACTGCAGGTGCCCTAATTTTAGGTACCTTCATAGTCAATTTTCTTACTCCCATGTCCTTTAGTTCCTCTATGCCCAGCAAAACTCAAGATAACTGGAAGAGAAAAGTTTAAGAAAGGGGTAATTAGCATAAAATAAACAAGTATTTCTGTAAAGGACACGTTAAAATTGGTGTTTTTAAGGATCACATAACTTTTTCTGAGAAGCTTCTATAACCATCAGAAATAGACCTCTGCTCCAAAAAAAAATCACAACATTTTAAGTCCCTTAATTTCTGAATTCCTGTCTGAAAAAGCACTTTTCTAACTTTTATTGCCATGGCAACTCCTATAAGACACTTTATTATCTAAGTTACAGCCAGGGAACAGATTACCCTATTTTGTATAATCATGTCATGGGTAAGTAAGGTTGAATAATCAATGCAGTGCAATTTTAAATGAATTTAATTAAAAGCTTTCATGGCATATTTTTTTCTGAAAAGTATAAATCGACTTTTCAGTAATATTAAGGGCAACAAAAACTCATCACATTATTTTTTTTATATTACAAAACTAATGATTTTGTAACGGTTCTAAATGAGTGGAATAAACCCCAATATATTATAATCCTTCCCCTTTGTCAAAATACTGTAACTATTACCAAAGAACAATGCATTCACAAAAACAATAAAATTAATTTTAACTAAGCAGAAGTTAAGTCAGGCAACAGATGCAGGTTTCACCTGCTTTGACTATTATCACTTTGATCTTGTGACATCTTTGAATTTCCTCCTCCAAATTAATTAATCACCAATAATATTACACATTAGAGCTTTTCAGTTTTCACTGTGAAATAAAAGGGCTGAACAGAAAAATTATAAGCAGGGTAAGAATATATGAAAGAAATATTGTATTTACACGCCATTTGATGGGAATGAGCCCCCATTAGAATCCCATTTCTTCTTGAATCTTGACTGCTGGATGTCCTAAAGATCAAGGAAAGAATTTGAGTGATGTGTTTTTTCTTAAAGTACATTAGTCTTAGAAGTAGAAAGAAATAATTATACAGTACTTAGACTGTTACTCATTTTGATCCTACCACTGCCATACATATTTAAAAACTTCCCAAGTAAGCACCTTTGATAGTATTTAGATTTAAATTTTTATTCAGCAAATACATAACAAAGAACATTTGTATTCTATTTTAAAGACAGAAGATCTACTAAAGGGCTCATTTTAATTACTTCAAAAAGCAGTAAATCGATCTGGTTTTAGAAATAATCCTCTTTCCTGAGTCAATTTTGAATTTTAAAGTAGAAATAGTTTTAAGCAGTACAGAAGTAAAATGAATGTGTGTATCAGCTGAAGTCACAGAGCAACAAAAATTCCTATTATACTTTGAAGCTACACTCAAAAAAGTTTGAGACTACTGTCAAAAAGAAAGTTAAAAAATACACAAAATCAGCTGCTAAGAAGAATCATGTTTATTCAGCTGTTATTTACAGTTATATAAGTGATTTCTATGAGAAGTATGGAAAAGCCTTCTAAATGCCATTCCTATAGTCTGCCCAGGCTATATAGGGAATTGAAAGAAAACAGAGAGGGACTATGTAATGAAAGATGATTTTAAAATAATTTGTCTATTATAAATCTCTAAGTTCTCTCCAACCTTAAGTAATTCTACTTGCCTGGTTTTTCCAAGTATTTACAGTGAAACTTTCATGTATCTATAGTAAAATCTGAAAGGAAAAGCATATATGAATAGAACTGGTAGAAAGAGTAAGAGGCAGCACTAAAGCACATGTATTTGATGAAGCAGAGACCAAGACTAGCAAGATTAATCTCTCCAGGAACAAATAAGCCTGAACTGCTTAAAATCCCAATTTATTAGTCCAGGCAATACAAAGTGTCCCTCTTTCAGCTGGTATCAATAATAAGCCTAAATATTCAGAGCAAGATGAATTTATATTTTCTACTGCAAGAGGTTTGGGAGAAAAATACAGAGTGGAAATACTCCATAAGCATTTGAAAGAGATAAATTTATATCCCTTAAAAAAGCAGATACACAATGTAGAAGAGCCAGAAGTTAGGAAGTGCTGTGTGAAGGCACCTCCATTCTTCTCCAGTATTAATTTTAAAACATTACTTTTAATTAAGGCAGTACATAACTATGTCTAAAATATGAATATCTAATCTGATTGTGCTGGAACACCTTTAAAACCAAGGTACACGGAAAAGTGTACCTTGGTTTTATTAGTAGTATTGTATTATTTATTAATATATTTATATTAATATAATATATTTATATAATTATAGTATATACAATCTTAATATATTAATATAATTATATATATTATTATTATATTTTATTATATATTATATGATATATCTTATATAATATATGATATATCATATATTATATATTATATAAATATTAAAATATTCAATTCTTATATATAATAATATAACCACTATATATTATAATAGTTATACTATTATAATATGTATTATATATGTAATATATATTTTTATATATTTTGTATATATTATTATATATTATTATAATTTTATTAGATGTATTATATATTAGTATTAATATATTTATATTAGTATTTCCAGACCAAAGGTTAAAATAGAGATTACTGAGTTGATTCTGGAGCCAAGTGTGTAGTGGATGGCAGCAACAGCAGCATTTTACTTACTGAGAAGCCATGTGAATTTAAAAGCAAAAAAATTTAGCTTACAGTAACCATTTTGTTAGCAGATAGAAAATTTTATTTGTCTTTATCCATTTATTTTATTTGTGCTTTTTGTTTTCAGAACTTTCTTGATAAATGCATATAGTTTTAATTTTTGCCAGTTATCTTGATTTAAAATTACTTAGAACCAGGTCTGGATCTTGCAACATAGAATTTCTCAACCTCTTAGATCACATTGTTATAACCATTTGTACAAAAGAATGTTTGAAAATAAGTCCCTTAAAATCATGTGATTCACTCATCAAAAAGGAGAAAAAACACAGGGTTTTTCTCAGTGTTTTATAAGTCTGAATTATTAATTACTCTGAGTTCTTTTGGAAAAGTAAATAATAATATGCCTTAAGACAAGTAATGTAGGTAAAATAATAGGGAAGTATCTTCTAGTAAGGGAAGTATACTGAAAGAATTTAATTTGACTGTAATCTTGTATTTTTATTTAAAAAAAAGTTACAGGAAAAAAAATGAGCCTTGATATAAGGTAATTTACTATTATTTTTGGATATTTAAAGAAATTACTTGAAATAGAGATTATTGCATCAAAAAAACTTTCCAGTGCCAACTTGAAGACAAAATTGTGGCAGCTCTTCATGTTGGGGTATTATGTACTTTATTTTTTAATAATGGGGTGAGGAAAAGCTTCCAGAAACAGAGATGTATCTGAGCAGAAATATATATCTAGGCTGATGGGAGTCAGAATCTAAATAAAGACTTGTGGTCCAAAGTATCCCCAAATCAGATCTTGGCATCCAAAAATCTTGATACTGAAACAGAAAGTAAAACCTAGTGCAAGCACATGAATCATCAAAACTTGTTTATCAGTTTCTTAGAGTAATTTTAGTTACAGATTGTAGAAGTATTTCTAATGCAATGCCACAAAAAACACTCCAAAATACCCAAACATAAATCCTACAATGTATTTTTATATCCTGAAAGATTTTAAAATTACTCTGGCAAAAAGACTTATCTCTTTTTTTCTTTTTTATTAATTTTTATAAAGTATATGAGGACTATATAAGTAAACACATGAAATTAGGAACAAAATATTTGTGAGAAACAGCAGGATAAAAATATGATAGATCTCAGCAATAAAGGCTTGGATGCAGAATATTTTTCAATTGTTAAAAAGAACATCATGACAGGCTTTTTGTTATCCTTCTCTGTGCAAATATTAATCAATTAAAACTCTGATTGTGTACTAGCAGTTTATTCATTGGTTTAAGAGAATAAGATGGCTGCCCTCCAGGCATTCACTAATGGTGTTATTCTTGATGAATTTCTCTTTCCTTGGGATTTTCTGAGGATATAAAGCACTGTGAGGCTTGATTTATGCCAACATGAAGCTAAACTCTAGCATACTCCTCCAGCAGACAAAAAAGATATTTTACTTACTTCATTAGCCTGCACAAAGGAAAGCTGAAGAGAGAAATTTATATTAGTCATTGGGGCCCAGAGATCCTAATTACATTTAGTATTGAGATTCAATGAAGGGAAGAAACCATCAGTCTAGTGAAATTGTTTATTGTCCTTGTTTTTCTTCTAATAATACGATGCCAGATGGAAACCTCTGTCTATATTAGCCACCTAATTTTAATTGCATTGCATTGCTTCTTTTAACTGATAGACTCATTTGCAGAAAATAAGTTATTCTCTTCCCCATATATTTAACAGCTTCTTCTTAACTTGGAAATTCTAAAACATTAAAAAGTCTACTTGAAGCTCTTTTTTCTTAGTCATATTGCTGCATTGGAGCAAGCATCTCCTCTCCCTAAACATCTCAGATTCTTTATATTAACTAGTCCTTGAAAGCATAATTTACAATGAAAGACATTTTACCAATTGGAACAGAGGATGCCATGGACAATTTTAGGGTGCTCCATGACTCCCTGTGTTAAAGAAGGCAATGAAAAAACTGAGAAATCAACAAAAGGAAATACATTTTTTTTTTCTTATATTTTTTACATATCTCATTTACATTTCCTAAACAAAACATTGGCCTTGCAGGGACAGATACAGCCTGACACTGGGGAAAATTAACTTTTACTTGTAGGTATTAGGAAACCTATGAAGAAATAACAAAAATCTCTTTGTAAAAGTCCCATTGAGATTAGAATAGACTGTGTGAAAGAGGAAATACCCTCCAGAGTAAAACAGGAAAACATACAGGAGAAAGCAATGCATACACTGAAATTTAGCTGTGTCTGGGTATTCACACTGAGAAGATGCTCAGAGGACAAGTGTAGAAGAACTGCAGCAATCTGTTTATCTAATCCTGCTGCCCAAAATAGCCTACGTGATTGAATTTGGATAGGGCAGGAGGCACTTTCGAACTAATTCCACAGAGTAATCTTTGAGCCCTTTTTATGCCACAGCTGAAGCAAAGCTATCAGATCTCTCTGTTCTTGCTGCTCTCAGGAATACCACAATCCACACTTAGGGGTTTCTGTGCTACTGTGTTATTCACCATCTTTCAACTGGTACATGTAGAAGTTTGTTGAATGCTTTTGTTTTGTTGTTATTTTCTGGGAAAGAGCAATATCCTCCTCCCTTCACAGGATTTCGTATTTCACAGTATTCAGCAAGCCCTCGCACTATAGATAGACAGACTTCTACCTTATCTTCATCTCTGCTCTTTATATAAAATATAAAATATATTAAGAAATAAAAATATAAAAATATATAATAATAATATAAAAATATAAAAATATAAAATTACAAAATTATAAAATTCTAAAAATATAAAAATATAAAAATATAAAAATAAATATAAAAATAAAAATATAAAATAATAAAAATATAAAATTTGAAAAAATATTAAAATATAAAATATGAAAATATGAAAATATAAATATATAACATATAACATATAAACCATGGCTTTATCATGTTGTGAAATAGCTGTAAGCATCCATTCACATACAAAATTTATGCTTGGATCTTATAGAAACTTAGATGAATAGCAATGAGGGAATATTTGTTATCACATTGTCAAAAATTCTAAAGCAAGAAAATATATTTTGAGCTGTTTTGTGATTGTCAATTCACTTGCCATATCAAGGAAGTAGGAACTGAAAATTTCAGTAGGAACTGAAAATTTTTGCTCTGACTTTTTTTTAATGATAAAACCAGACATTTTTAAAAAATTTAATTTAGACTATTATATAGTTGATAGAGTGAAAGTACCTAGTAGAACATACTCTTTTGTCAGAAATATGATTTATACATACTCA